GTAAAGTGTCCCAGATGACGGTGGATAATGGTAATGTTACAGGCAAGGCCTGTGTGTGTGAGCGCAGGCATTATAGCGGTCATTAGGACAGATATCTGTGTGGTAATGTGGAGCAGATGTTGAGAAGAAAGGGATCATTTAAAAAGGGCAAATGTAAATAAACATTGAGGCAGCTCGGTACCCCTCCTCCCTTGTGGACCCTGTGAAGTCACTGAAAGAAAACAGTTCATCAATCTTCTTCACGGCCATACGCTTTGTGAGATTAGAGCTGCCAATCCAGATTTATAGAGACCTTCCTTTTTTATTTTACTGATTTGAACAACTATTGCAACTTTTCCGTTTTGGGTTGTGGAACGATTGTAAACCATACATGTTTCAAGATTGCACATGTGTATTTGTGTATCGAACCTGCTCACCTTTAAAGCAGGATACTCGTGCATGGCCAGAGGAAGAAGAAAGTGACGGTGGTTCCACCTACGTTCTGGACTCAAACTCATTCTGCTCTGTGGCCATGCATACCTGAGGGGCTTTGGCATGGCCACAAGTCCGCCCCTGCATTTTATATATATATGTACATAATATACATATAGCGTGTGTGTGTGTGTGTGTGTGTGTGTGTGTGTGTGTGTGTTTGTGCATGTCGCCTCCCTCAGGGCAGGGCAGTACCCCTCAGTGTGAGCTCCAGTGAGCCCTTACATGGCCACTGAACACAGACCCTTTGCAGTCACAGGGTCAGAGGCTCACGCCACACTGCTGTCAGAGCAGATTGGTCCCCTTTCAAGGAGTCAAGGTGCTTTCAGAGGAGAGCTTTGTGGATGTGCATGTGTGTGCTTGTGCAGATTGTGTCTCCAATTAAGTAAAATTAGGCTTCTTGTTTGCACTGTAGAAGCAGTTCAGGAATTTGAGCTAATTGAGTTGTTATCCTCACCTAAATCCAGTTAAACCCATATATATATATATATATATATATATATATATATATATATATATATATATATATATATATATATATATATATATATATATATATATATAGTCAAGTCA